CGCAAACGTTGCCCAGCTGGGCGTACAACAGTGCAGACCAGCTTCCGGCAGCACTACCATCTCCGCGTGCACCATTTCAATTGTTATCCCAGACTCGGTACAGCAATTTGTGTTTTGTGTCTTGGATATTTTTCATCAAACCCCCCCAATAAACTTCTTATACATTTCGAAGCAATGGACCCAAACATCGAACGATTTGCAAGGATTGAACGGATGGCACACAATGTGTTTTGTCCATATCGTGAAATTTATGAAGAAAAAAAGAAACATACAATTCAGACAAAGCTCACCATGTTTATGAAATAACCAACTCCAGTAACCCCAACTGCTGTCTCAGATGACAACATCAACGATCCGCAGCCAAGCACCAGCGGCCAATAAAATGTTTCGTACATGTTTATATATTTTGATATGTTTTGCAATTGGGAAAATGTTTCCTATGGTATTTTTTACACCTGTATTTTGTATTTCTGTATGCACCTGTATTTTGTAATTTTGTATGTTTTGCAAATATTAAACCAGTTGTACTGGTAATGCAGTGTTTTACTTAAACCTGATGAATGTAAAAATAAGAAACAAAATGGTGTAGAGATGATACAAATGGCATAAAATGAACAAAGAAAATTATGATATACAACAATAATGAAAGAAAATTATGATAAAACATGACTTAAAGATTTTTATAACATCATTTCACAGTACTGTACATATAGCCTACTCAACTTACGACCAAATCGTGTTACGACCAGTCTGTCGGAACCAATCGTGGTCGTAAGTCGAGCACTAGCTGTATCAAAGATAAGTTATCAGAATTTCATCAGGAGGTTGAGCTGTGGTACAAATGAATCTATTACTGAGTAGAATTCTTTTTCTAACACTTTATTTTCTCCATTCATCACTGAAAGAAGTCAATATCATATTATTAGGCACGTTTAAAAGCCACATTCAAACACTGTACCAGACTACAAAGAAATTCTTTCCCAGGCCAAATTAATCAAGTACAGAATAAGGGAAGCAAACGGGATTCTCTTCCAAACTCTAACATCCACCCTTCTGAACTCTGAGTGCAATGTAACTGTCGACCTAACAAACTGAGTGGGTGTGATCTTCAGGAAGAAATTGCTCCATAACTTCTTTGTGATAGTTCTATTCCAATATCCAAACCAACTAGCAGAGCTATGAAACACCTGCTGTGTCCTGAGTGCCTGAAAAGAGTAGGAAGAAAATATGTAGTTAGATAGCCTGATCTGTTGCTCGAGTTGACAGATATAGATGGCTTAGAAAACAAAAAGCAAAAAGATATGTATTCTTTTCCCTCTTGGTACTGACCTATTTTATTATCAGCCTTGATTTTAATATCATGCTTTGTAATATTAAAAAATTGTGGTTGTTTTTAACCTAAAGTTGGTAAGTTGCTCGGTCCAAATCCCCATGAGTGGTCTAAATTGAAAAACAGAATAAATTCCTGAATAAGCATATTAAAAAGAAAAACAACTGAAAGCACAGCTCTTTTTGCAATCTGAGAGCAAGGCAGTCATGACTCCGTCTTGATATCCATTGTCTTTTGTATGAGTCCTTGTCTTTGTCTTTTACACTTGCATAGACTCTTCCTAGTTTGAAATTTCAAGAATTCTGCAAGTGTTGCATGAATCTTTAGACCATCCCACTTACACTGAGAGTGGGTGGAGAACATGAGACCCAGCGAAATGAAACAGCCTCTTCTGTGTCAGAGAAGAGAATAAGGATGAAAAAAATGTCCTAACTTTTTTCTGGTTCACTTTTAGTAATGTCATTTTTTACAGTATTTTAGCAATAAGAAAATGTGGACAAAACCCCCTCGAATTATACTTAAGTCAGAGAAGGTAGCAAATGTAGATCTTAAAGGGCTATTTTCAGGAAAGCATTTAAAAAGCATGATTATCTAACAAGCAAAACTGATAATTATGTAATTTCATAGCATTTGGCAGGATGATAACTTTTGTTTTAAATAATGGGTGGGATTTATTTTATGCCTTTGTGTGTACAGAACTCTGTGCCTCAGATCTCTAAAGATCTCTAGTGCAAAACAACAAGGTTATAATCAATCAAATGTCTTGCAGAGATAGACACTATTTACCTTAGTCTTTAGGAAAACAGAAGTTGAAGAGTGCAAAGGGAAATTGCTGGTAATGAAAATAGTCAGGATATAGTTTAAAGAACATTTTCTCTGACAAAAGAAAGCAAATGACACACAATCAGTGACAGAAGACTTGGTTCCCAGAAGGGTGATACCTCCTACACCTTGAATTTTAAGAAGATATCACCTTGGTTCTTAGACGGAACCTCAATTATACAGCATCTATTATGTGCTAAGCTCTGTGTTGCTAGCTTTATTCTAATTATCTTAGTTACTCTGATGTTTGTGTGGAAATTATTATGCCCATTGCAAAAATTAATCAGATGAACTGAGACCCCCCAAAGCACACAGCTAATAACAAAGGTAGGGCTGTTTGAAGCCAAAGTCTATGTTCATTTACTATTCCACACTGTTGCAGGCTGGAACACAAGTGTATTAGTTTTTGCTGTGTAATAACCCCAGAACTTAGTGACTTAAAATCAAAACCACTTACTTAGGTAATGAGTTGGTGTAAATTATTTAGGCGGGGCTCAGATGGGCAGTTCTTGTCTTGACTGCTCACTTGTGTACCTGCAGTCAGCTGATAGGTTGGCTGGGGGCTGTCTGGTCTAGGATAGCCCTGGCTGGCAGACTTGTCTCTGCTCCATGCAGTCTTTAGTCATTTGACATGTGAGCCCAAGCCTGTACACACAGTAGCTGGGCACTATCCCTAGAGAACCAGCAGCAGTATGTAAGACCTTTTGAGATCTAGGCTCTGAATTCACCCAACATCCTTTCCATCACATTCTTCTGTCCACAGCAACTCTCAGTTCTAGCTCAGATTCAAGGTGGAAGATACAGACTTCACTTCTTGAAGAGAGGAACTGCAAACCACATTGCAATCACCTCTGATTTTCTTGCTGAAACCCATGGTCTCTCTTTAACCATGAGAAACCACCAGAGAAACCCAATTTGAGAGAGCTTCTACAAGTACCTGCCTCGTAGAAAAGTGTAAAGGTCATGAAAGACAAAGAAAGCCTGAGGAACTGTTACAGATTGAAGGAGAAAACCAAGCAGACATGACAACTAATGCAGCTTAAGGTTATGAATTGAATCCTGAAACAGAAGGACATTGGTAGAAAGGCTGGCTAAATCTAAACCAAGTCCATAGTTTTATTAAAAAATAAAGTGTCCTGGTTTGAATAAGTTATGTTACTTTACTCATATCTAACCTGAAGGGATGCTTTCCACATTACATTTTTAAGCATGATGTTTGCTGTAGTTTTAATTGATGACATTTATTGAGGTTAAATAAATTCCTGTCTATTCTTAGTTTGATAAGAGCTTTGCATAATAAATGTATGTTGACTTTTAGTGCATTTTTTTCTGTATCTGTTGGAATAATCATATGGTTTTCATCTCTTGATATGGTAATAATTAACCATATGTCAATTTATGTAATTGGTTTTCTGCAATTAAAACAGTCTTCTATTCTTAGAGTAATCGAGCTGGATTATAATGTATTGTGGTTTTCATACATTGCTGAATTTTGTTTGATAATATTTTCTTTAGGATGTTTGAATTTCTATTTATGAGTAAGAGTGGTCTATAATTTACCTTACTCATCCTCTCCTTTTACATTAAGTTTTTAATATGTCAACATTTTTGTATCAAATTTATGATAGCCTGCCTCTTAAAATAAAATTATTACATTTTCTTATGTTGTTTAGAACAGTAAATTTAAGATTAAAATTAATTGTTCTATGTTTTATAAAACTTACCTGTAAAGCATCTGGGCCTAGTACTTTCTTGGTGGGAAGATTTCAAACACTTGATTCAATTTATTATGTCACTATAAGACTATTCAGTCCCAGCACTTTGGGAGGCTGAGGCAGGAGTTCGAAACTAGCCTGACCAACATGGCAAAACCCCATCTCTACTAAAAACACAAAAATTAGCAGGGCGTGGTGGTGCACGACTATAATCCCAGCTACTCAGGAGGCAGGAGAATCACTTGAACTCTGGAGGCAGAGGTTGCAGATCAGTGTGAGATCATGCCACTGCACTCCAGCCTGGGCAACAGAGGGAGATTTCATCTAAAAAAAAAAAAATTATTCAGATTCTCTGGTTTTTCTAGAGTTGGTTTTCCTAAGTTATGTGTCTCCAAGAATTCTACTATTCATCTAAATTTTAAATGTTATTGACATAAAATAATTCATAATGTCCTTTTAGTTTCTGTTTAATTCCTGCAGCACAATAATCTATTGATTACTGAGAGTTATATTTTTAATGTCTCACCGAAATAGATTTCCCTATTTCTCCTTATTGATCTGTCCATTTTTACCTTATATATTCTGACATCATGTTACTAGCTGCATACAAGTTTTAAATAATTGTTTTCCTAGTGAATTATACATTTTGCCCTTATATAGTGGCTCCTTTTATCTGTAACAGTGCTTTTAATTTAAAGTGTATTTTTGCCTGATATTAACACAACTACTGCAGCTTTCTTTTGGTCAATATTTGCTTTTTACTATCTTTGACTTTAAATTTCTCTATGTTCCTATATTTTAAAGTTTACTATAAATATCAGACAGCCAGGTTTCAAGATTTTTTTTTAATTTTTATTTTTTTTTCAACTTTTTTTTATTGCATTTTAGGTTTTGGGGTATATGTGAAGAACATGCAAGATTGTTGCATAAGTAAACACATGGCAGTGTGATTTGCTGCCTTCCTCCCCATCACCTATATCTTAAGATTTTTATTTGATCTGAAAATCTTTTAAACTATAAAATATACTGTGTTTCCTCTTACATTTAAATCTATTTCCACTTTCTCATTATGTGTTTTCTACTTGTCCAATTTTAAGTTTTCCTCCCTCCTTGGCCTATTTAGATTGATGTCTTTTTTCTTATTCCATTTTCTCTGTACTTGTTTGTGAGTTACGTGCTCTATACTTACTCTTAAAGTTTATACTTTAGTATATTCAAGTTATCCTTATAACTTAAATATGCATTCATTTTTAACAGCCTAAACTTAATCAATACTTTACCTTTCTCCTAATTAATATAAAGAATTTAGATTGCTTTAACGCTGATCACCCGCTTTTGGCTTACATTGTGTTCCAGTATTTTAGTTATAGCTGATGGTCCCCATGATTTAGTCAACATTATTGTTTTACACTGTCACATTTAGATAGATAGATGATTGATAGACAGATAGATAGATATCTTTGTTTACCTTTGTTGGGGGTTACAGACCTTCTTTCTTTTGTTTTTGTTCTTGTTTTTAACCCTCTTTCTGAAGTACATCCTTTAGGATTTCCTTCAGCAAATATCTTTTAGTAACAAAGTCATCTGCTTTTGTTTTTCAAAAGTGTCATATTTTTTCCTCATTCTTGAATAATAGTTTCACTGAGTAAAATTTTAGGTTTTCTCACTCAGTATATTGAATACAAAGATACTAGTATGTCTTGCTGGTGTCTTCTGGCTTCATTGTTGCTACTGAAAAGTCAGCAGTCATACTAATTGTCATTATTTTAAGATAATTTGCTTTCTTTCTCTGACTATAAGACCTATTTTTCTTCAATGTCCAGTAGTTTCGCTATGATGGGTCTAGGTATGAATTTCTTTTTAATTGTCTGGCTTGAGATCCATTGGTCTTCCTAGAGAACTAAAAGGAAGCTGATATCCAGCCAACATACCCCTTGCCAAACCACGAACTCCGAGTCAGAGCCATCTCCAACCAAAGAAAATTATTATTTCCCACGCATAAATGTTTAATGAGCTGACCCAGTTATAAGCTCTTGGGCTGCATCTGCTCAGTACCTTCCTCTAATTCACCTTCTTAGACGGAGGATCTTTTTGTAAACACACTAAGACATCATATGTTCCACACTGCTAGAGGTGAGCTAGTAGTATTCATCAATATGTATAGGGCACACAGCAGTGGTTTAGTGGTTTAGATGTCACTTTACCATTTCTCTTTGCCACAGGGAATTTGTATGCAAAACTGGGTCTCTTTAGAAGAAAGAAATATGTATTTTTGACTTTCATTTAAATTTGGCAAAATTAAGCTTTTCTATCCCACTCTCTCTTCTGAAGCCAAAAAAAAAAAAAAAAAAAAAAAAATACGAAACCATAGTAAGTAAAATAACTCTGCCTTTGGTAAAACTAGGAAACAATAAATATCCAAATCCTCAATCTAGAAAGATCAGCTGCCAAGTGCAATGAAATCTGAACCAAATCAAAGGGAGATACTGGAAAATGACTTGTGTCATTGCAGGCTCATAGCAGAAAATGGGGAAATGGTCTGAAAAACTAAACCATTATGCCTTTGCCCAGCGCAGAGGGGGCCGGGAACATCCCTGAGCTCTACTCTCCATGAAGCAGCTGGGGAGAAAGGGAGCTGAAAAAAAGGGTCACAGACCATTATCTTCATAGGCTCTTTGGGGTCAATGTGACACGGTAAGAATTAGCTCTGCAAGTGCTTATATTCAACAGCTAAAATTGAAGGCAAGTGCTAAATCTCTATACATGAGTTTCTAAATGAGCCAGGCAGGCCCACTGCTCAGCCCTGGTGGAAGTATTTCCTTAGGTCATTGTGGGGGAAAAAAAAAAGTTCTAAGGCAATATCTTCAATCTAAGGTGCATGCAGTTTTAGTTCACTTCTCCAGTCTCTTAGCCTTGCTCTTCGCTAACAGACAGAAATCAGAAAAGAACAGTCTGCATTCATAGATAAGAAATAATGAGAAGCAAACCACTTTGGGACCTAGCCTAGGTAATATAAGAGAAAAAGAAGATGCAGCAGATAAAGAATACACATCAGAAGCTCACCATGAATTACGGTGAAATTTTCAACAAATTATTGTCCATCATATCAACCAAATTGAAGAATCTATGGATTTTCTAAAGCAAATGCTCAGGGAAGACATGATGATACAATAGAAAGAAGTAAAAGAGCAGCTGACAGAACTCAGGAGATACATGAAAGTGGAAACTAAATTTTTTATAAAAATAAAAGCCATATTAGAAGAAGCAAAACCAGGAACAGACATTAATGGAAACATAGTTAAGCATGTAGAATTCTTTTTTTTCAGGGTTATACATTGTACAAATTTTTATTTTATTATTCTTTTTAATTGTACTATAGGTTCTGGGGTACGTGTGCAGATCTTGCAGGACTGTTGCATAGGTACATACATGGCAAGGTAGTTTGCTGCCTTTATCCCCCCATCACCTGTATCTGGCATTTTTCCCCATGTTATCCCCCCCCAACCTCCTCATCCCCAGCTGTCCATCCCTTAGCACCCCCCCCAGCAGACCCCAGAGTGTGATGCTCCCCTCCCTGTGCTCATGTGTTCACATTGTTCAACACCCGCCTATGAGCAAGAACATGTGGTATTTGGTTTTCTGTTCTTGTGTCAGTTAAGCATGTAGAATTCTGACAGACTTGAGAAAGAAAGTTGAACCAAAAAATGTTAAGGGGTACAAGATAAACTATAAATAATAAAAGCTATGCATAGGAAATCCATAATGAAAATTATTTACATCTCTGAAGTGAACTGAGCAAATGAAGCAACAAGATAATATCCGGAGATATAATAGAAGAAAATGTTCCTATATTTTAAAAACCTTTACTCTTCAGATTGAAAAACTTCAGAAAGTCTAACACTGAGCCATATCTTGGTAAAGTTACTAGACCTGAAAGGTAAAGAAAGAATGGACATATGAAAGAATATTAAATGACTCATAATAAAGGGAAACAAATCAGATGGGCCTAATACCTTCCCACTGCAATATTCAAAGCTGGAGAAAGTGGAACAAAACTTCCAAAGTCTTCAGAGAAAGAAGACATGACCACTTGGCAATGTTCAGTTCAAACCACATTTAAGGATATAGGCAATGACATTTTCAAATATGCAGGATCTCAAGAAATATATTAATAGTATCTGTGAGCCCTTCTTGGTGAAGCTACACAGTAAGAAATCCAACAATAGGAGATGAATGAAAAACTTGTGATAAACAAGACTGATGGAAAACATTTAAACCACTTCAATACAAAGCCAAGGCTAGATAACCATCCAAAATGTAGACTCTATAGAATAATTGCAAAAGAGAATGTAAACATTATAAACCATGCATATACTTAATCCGTCTCAGTAACTAGTTTCCATAGACATGGAAATAACACATCTTTGAATCTCACTGTTTAAATGTTTTTTTCTTTGAATATGTAAGTATGTAATGCTTGTTTTTTTTTTAATCAAAGTATATATCCTTTTGTTGTTGTTGTTGTTATTGTTGTTGTTGTATATGAAAATACTGCTTACTTGGTTCCTTCTTATTTTGTTGTGAGCCTAGACTTAAGGAAACTGTTCACAAGAAACCAGAGATTTTATTTGTGAGCCTACTCTTTACCAGCATCAGTAGAATTTCCTATCTAAATGCAGAGAAAAATAAGCAAATCAGATTAAAGTTCATACCTAGGTTACTGACTTAAAGGCTACAGATAAATTTCTAAATGTGATGCCTGGAACCTAAAACAATGGCACTAGAATGCAAAGCATGGGAGCAAGAAATTTCATTTAAGGCTAAAGAGTTTTCACATAATTTACCAAATTTCATAATGATCTGAAGTTCATAATGATCTGAAGGTAAAGCCAGCCTCAGTCATGATTCTCATTCAAGGAGTCCTTCACAGAGCAAGTTCTCAGATCTTAGCTCATTTCATCCTCAAAACAAGTGTGGAAGGCAGGGATGTTATTATCACCATTTTACATGTTTTTAAAAAATCAGACACTCCAAGTGGTTAAGTCACTTACCCAATATTATTCAGCTAAATCAGTCCTAATGGTTATGAGAAGTTGAGTGGGAATTTGAGACTTCAAGAGACACATCTTCAGCCCTCAGATGAACAATACTGGTTAAAGTCCAAGCAAATGTCATCAGATGAAATTTGGTTATCTTTACATCTGGGAAATTGTTAGAGGAAAACATCTGGATCAGACAGGAAATTCCAAGAAAAACCCAAGAGTATAAGTGTGGGAGTTCATTGTAAACCACCCAATTCTCAATGAAAATTTTCTTCTTTAAGAGTGTTAGAGACAGAGGTCAGTGCATCATGGGAATTGCCCACAGGAAATCAGCTCAATGGAAAAAAATGTGTTCCAGAGACATAAAATCGATGCTGCTCTGTTAATAGACGCCAATGACTCTTTTGAGACCTAAATCATGGAACATTCAACATGACTCAGGGACATTCTGGGGAACACCTAATGAGACTCCCAAGATGGTCAGCCTACATGACCCAGAGGAAGCTGGCTTATGTGAGTGAGAGGTGCTGAGGTGCTCTGGGTAGTTAGGCCAGGGTAACAAGGAGCTCTCTTAAAAAAAAAAAGAACTCAAGAAAAAATTCATAGATGGGGCTGCTGTGCCACAGTCTCCATTCCAATATGGACTCTGTGGACAAGAGCACCATGAATGATGGTTGATGCCTGCCATGCTGATCTAGAGATAAAGCCCCAAGATCACTTAGATTCCTACTTTCTTTGTTGAAACCCAGAGACAGAGCTTTGTGCCGGTTAAGAACTTGCTTTATGCCATGGAAGGAAACAGTAATTTTTGGCTTATTTAAAAGAATAAAAAATATTAAAGAAAGTGATGGCCACTCATGGCCATAGCCTCCTTGAGCTTTGGCTGGGAATCAAGCTGTAGCTCCCCTCTCCCTGGTTGCTCCTCAGGCTTCAAGAGATATTTCAAAGGAATCCATCTTAGACCCTGCCAGCTTTGGGGAGGGCTTTCTGAGCATGGGTCTAGTTAAGATCCTGGGTGACTCTTTTGATTTCCACAAGATTTGCATTTCTTCCCAGAAGCTGCATGGAAATAAGCCACAGAAAGGGCAGGTCATGAAAAATATCCAAAACTCTACCTCACCAGCCAGACCAGCAGTCTCTAGAGGGCCCTGTGCTTCTGAGAATTCTCTCGCCATCAATATAATATTTAGCTAGGTCCTTGTGATTATTTCATTTCTGAGTCATCTGAAACAAGAATTCAGAAACCTGAGAGAACAAGAAAGAAATGTCAAATAAAAAATGAATAATAAAAAGGTCATTTTCAATTACCATATTAGATGTGTTCCTTTTTTCCATTGAAATTTTCTTCTCCAGTCTTTTGAAAGTAACCAAAAAATCCTAAAGAAAATATATGCAATGATCTCAAACCTAAAACTCAGAAATGATGCGTTAACCAGAACTCTTACAGCCACAATTTGTATACCTTCCTGTCTCTCAGTTCCTGCATCTAATCCACCACCAGGTCCTTTCAATTTTACCTCAGAAATGGCTTTCAAATTCATCCACATCTTTCCAACTCAACTACCACTGCCCTAGTCCAAGCTATTCTCACATTCGGCCTCAATATTGCCATGATCTCCTAACTCAAATAAATCCCTGTTTGGATTCCTGCTATACCCACAGATAGATATTCCACACCAAAAGCCAGAGAGGATTACTTAGAATGCAAATATGATCATTTCATGCTCTTGGAAAAGTCTACAATGGCCAATAAAATTTTGAAAATATGCTCCCTGTTCACTTATTAGGAAAATGAAAATTAAAACCACAGTGATATATCTCTACAAAACAACCAGAATAGCTAAAAAAATATTCAGTGCAAAACATCAAGTGGAGGTGAGTATGAGAAGAGATAGGAACTCTCATGCCTTGTTTGTGAGAATGTAAAATGGTATCATCATTTTGGAAAATGATTCTATAATATCTGCTAAAGCTGTACATACAACCATCCTGTGACCCTGCAATTAAACCATTAAGCATGTTCATCCAACAGAAATGCATATTTATCAAGACATGGTCATAAATATTCAGAGCAGCACAATTCATAACAGCCCACAACTGAAAACATCCCAAATGCTCATCCACAACCCAATTGTGTATTCACATGGTGAGAATGGACAATCTACAACTACTATAGACAGATTTCACAGACATTACTTTGAGTGAAAGAAGCCAGATAACAGATGATTCCATATGCATAAAATAGAAACCCAGGCAAACAAATACATGTTATAGAAGGTCCAAATGGTGCTGACTGGAGGGGTGTGGACTGGCTGGGGGTGCAAGGTGAATACTTCTTGGCTTCTGATAATGCTCTGTTTCTTGGTCTGCATGCTGTTTATGTGGATATTCAGTTTGCGGAAATTCAACTAACTATGCACTTATAATATGCACATTTTCTGTATATGTTTATAGCTAAATTAAAAGTGTTTAAATTACTCAGTGACTTCCCACTAAGGCAAAATACAAAACCCTTAACATGGGTTACAAGCCTGTAAGTTATCTATTGCCTGCCCTCAACTCCATACTTCTTCTGAGCTGCTAACCCCTTTCTTTGGTTAATAACTCCAGCCACACTGGCCATGAATCAGTTCCCTAAATATAGCTCATTCCTTCCCATCTCAGGGCCTTTGTACCTCCTGCCCCCCTGGCCTAAAATAGTAGCTGGCAAACTATGGCCCACAGGACAATTCCGCCAATCCTGCCTGCCATTTGTTTCTGTAAGTAAAGTTTTACTGGAATCCAGCCATGCCCATTCACGTCTATGTTATCTATAGTTGCTTGGTACTATAACAGTCACAGAGATCACAGGTCCACAGATTGAAAAGATTTGCTATCTGGCCCATTGTAGAAAAACTTTCCCAACCCCTGGCCTAGAACATTCTCATATGCCTACTCTACCCCCATCTGTCTAACGCCTACTCACCTTTCAGAATTGAGGAAAACAAACATGTCCTTTGTTGAAAGAAGCCTAAGTTCGTATTGGTTCAGTGAATGGAACCAACATCAACTCAATTGCCTAAATCAAAAATCTGGAAGTCAATTTTGACCCCTCCCTCTTCCTTAGCTTCCAAACCCTATCAATTGCTCACTAGTGGGCCTTTGCTTATATGGTCCTCAATAAGGAATGCTCTTCCCCTTCACTTCAGACTTCTCACAAGTCATTCTGACTCACTATTTTAAGAGACAGGGTCTCACTATGTTGCCAAGGCTGGATTCAAACTCCTGGGCTCAAGTTATCCTCCCATCCCAGCCTCTCAAGTACCTAGGACTGCAGGTGCATGGCACTGTGCCCAGCTCCACTCCGACTCATTTGTTAAGATTCAACCTAATCATCTCCTGTTCGTGAAGCCCTTTCTAACAAGCGCCTACTAGGCAGCCGGAATTCTGTCATCCCCAATCCTTACAACATCTGTGTATTTGCCACAGTGCGGCAGTTAGTGTGGAGTCCTAATTAGGAAAAAAAGAACTATGGGATACAGATATACAAACAGCTCACTGTCTCAAGCACGACAACTATCTGGGCTGGTGGCGTGGGGGTAAAAAAAATGTACCAAGACAGTTGTAGATAAAGAAAGGCAGATTTACTAGAGAAAGTAGGAAAAGACTTTCTTGTGATGAGGCAATGGGCAGAATCAGCAGAAGAGGAGTGGACTGCCAGCAAACAAAGGCTTTTCCTGAGGTCAGGCTGGTGGGAGCAGGAGAAAGAAGGAAAGGGAAAGCAGATAAACTGCAAGTCTGCCTTTCTTCCTGGTCCAGGACATGCAGCCCTCCTGCACCCAACTTGCCACCAGAGACCTGCAAGTTCTCCCACTGCAGCCTTGGCCTCCTCAACGCTGCACAAAGCCCTCTTCAGCACACAGCATAAACACTCTTCTACAAAATCCCCAGCAAGCCTTTGTTTGCTGGCAAGCCACTCCTCTTCTGCTGAGTCTGCCCTTGCCTCATTGCTACAAAGCATGTTCCTACTTTGTCTAAGAAATCTGACTTTCTTTATCTACAACTGTCTGGCTAAATCGCGTTACCCCCATGCCACCAGCCCAGATAGTTGTGGCTCCCTCGTGATGTTAAGCTGTTTGTTTTTCTGTGTCCCATAGTTCTTTTCTGTCTTTTCATTTAACAGATACTTATAGATCACCTTCTATATGGCTGGCACTGATCTAGGCCCTTAGGAGTCACCAGGGAACAAAACAGATGAATATCTCTGCCTGTGTGGGCTGCGGAGCAGGCTCACGATGCACAGGTGAGCCCACTGCATCATTTAGCCCACTGCATCTTGGGCTGCAATTTCTACTACTTGCTTGAGTCCAGTGAGATAGAACACTCACTGCAAGTTAAGTGAAGCAACGTTTTTACTCACACACAGCAAGAAAGAGTGAAAGCCTAGAATACATAGCAAGTCAGTTCCAAGGCTTAGAAAAGCTGCCCTGAGTGGATGGAATCTTGTCTTCATGTGCCTCACTTGCCCCACAGCTGAAGGGCCAGGAAAGCAGTCCACCTGGGTTTTATACCCTGGGGACAACATGATACACTGGGCTAAAGTATTGAAGGACATCTTGTTCTAGGAGGGACAAGAGTGGAGCCCAGGATATTCTGGCCAGTTCTTCCTTGTCTCAGGATGTTATGCTTCCAGCACGCACCAGTTATTCTTGAGAACTACAAGTGAGAAAGGAGGAAGAACTAGGTCAGTCCAAGGAGAACTGTACTGCATGGTTCTTACATTCTAGAGCATCTGTGTCCCTAGGATTTAGCCAGGGTGTGGAAGACAAGTTCAATAAACACTCCTTGAATGAATATATTTACACTGCAGTGTGGATGAGACAAGTATAGCATTTTTCCAGAGCACACGTTAAAAAATGAGAAGAGCAAAAATGGAGGGAGGCAGAAGAGGGGGGATCCAGGGCATAGCCAGAGGAGGGAAGGAGATGGCTCCCACCTGGACCCAGACAATAGTTTCCAAACTAAAACCTGGGAAGCTTAGGAAAGAACTCATCTGCAGGCATTGTTCCCTGTATCATCTGCATTGATTTGTAGAGGGGCCCTTCTCGATCAGCCTGGGAATCTGCTTTTCCCACAGGGGGAGCTCAAGACCTGCTGCCCAAGAGGCATCTCCCCAGGCTATGGATACCTTGATCTCCATAGGGATACCCATAGCTTAAGGGAGGGGGAGTGATAGGCAGACCCTGAGCACCACCCCCTACCCCGCCACCCAAGCAATAGGGCAGGTCTCTTGCCAGAAAGCAAGAGACCATAATGGCCCTAGGGAGTCTAGGGGATGAGGATAATGGGGATGCAGTTCTATTATTAAACAACAAACTACTACATTGATCAGGAGACTTCAATCTAAAAAGATGGCTCCTAGAAGGGGAAGATATTGACGCAAAGGAAGCAGCAGGGTCCTTTTATTTTTGAGACGGAGTCTTGTTCTGTTGCCAGGCTGGAGTGCCATGGTGTAATCTCAGCTCACTGCAGCCTCTGCCTCCCAGTTAAACCTATCCGCCTGCCTCAGCCTCCAGAGTAGCTGGGACTACCCAGGAGCCTGAGGCAGGGAAATAGGCTCATGCCACCACACCCGACTAATTTTTTGTATTTTAGTACAGACACGGTTTCACCATGTTGGCCAGGATGGTCCCCATCTCCTGACTTCATGATCCACCCGCCTCAGCCTCCCAAAGTGCTGGGATAACAGGTGTGAGCCACCGCACCCAGGCCCTTTCTTAACATCTCTTTCTGACATGGATTTAGTGATTTCACACCATTTAGGTCTACATATCAGTCCCCAACCACATTAATTCTCCTCAACTGTGACCTCCCATAGTATGGGGTGCTCACAGCACCCCCTGTTAATAAGGCAGGCTGGGAATGGAGAGGTGTGTATGAGTGACAGCCAGGCTAGGCTCCACCAATGACTAGGTCTCAGTTTCTTCTTCTCTAATATCATCAACATCATCATCATTCAGTACTCGCTATATGCCAGGCATTGTTGTAAGAACTTTATGTATCTAACTCATTTAATCCTCACAACAGTCCTAGGAAGTACATACTAGTACCATTCCCATTTTACAAAGGAAGAACCAGAAGCACAGGGAGGCTAAGTAACTTGACTAAACTAACATAGCTCCTTAGTAGTGAAGCCTGAATGTGAAATCAGGAAGTCTGGCCTCAAACTCCGTGCTCTTAGCAAATAGGTTCGATCTTGCTTGAAACACTGATTAGCATGTGGTGCTACTGAGAAGGGTCAGAATCCTCAGTAGCAAAGGTGCCATAGCTGATTAGCAATGCCTGCAATGGTCATATGGATGCTGTCTTTTTTATTCTTGTGTTATACAATGGCAAAGACACTCTCCCCCACCAAACTTCAATTAGGCTCTTCTGAGCCCTATTTTCAACTAGGCCTCTGCCTTGACCCCATCCTCTCTTTGGCCTGCCTAGCCCACTCTTGGAAGAATCAGCTTTGGTTAAGTTATGCTATTTTTTAAAAGAAAAGAAAAGAATATCTCAAAATGTCAGTGACTTACAGCAGCAAAGGATTATTACTTGTTCATATTACATATGGGCGATGAGTCAACTACACATCTGCTCCATGCGTCTTTTTTTTTTTATACGGAGTCTTGCTCTGTCGTCCAGGCTGGAGAGCAGTGGCGCAATCTTGGCTCACTGCAACCTCCGCCTCCTGGTTTCAAGCAATTCTCTTGCCTCAGCTTCCTGCGTAGCTGGGATTACAGGCATAAGCCACCATGCCCAGCTAATTTTTGTATTTTTAGTAGAGATGGGGTTTCACCATGTTGGCCAGGCTGGTCTCTAACTCCTGGCCTCAAGTGATCGGCTTGCCTCGACCTCCCAAAGTGCTGGGATTACCAGTGTGAGCCACTGTGTCCAGCCCATATGTCTTCTTCATTCTGAATCTAGGCTAAACGGGCAGCCCCTCTCTGAGACGAACATCAATCTCAGAGGGGAAAGAACAATGGTGGCCCTTCTGATGCACTTAGAGCTTATATTTACAAATGGTAAACAGAACAGGGTATTGACCAAAGCAAGTCAAAATGGCCAACCCTGATGTACTTGGCAGAAATGTAATTCATCTACAGAGAGGGGCACCTGCGAGGGACACTGTGGCCATAAACCCAGTGGAGAGTAGCAGCCAACGACTGGGAATGATCATCTGATTTACCACAATGGGTGTCAAGTTCTGGCTCAGCTGTTTCTTCTCTGGCCTCAGTTTCTCAGCTGTAAAGTGTGTGTGAGTGTGTGTGTGTGGTGAGTGTGTGTGTGTGTGTGTGTGTGTGTGTGTGTGTGTCACGGTCCTGAGAGGAGTGAACCTCTAAGGCTTTTTCCAGTTTTAATGCTTAATTTTACAGTCCCACCCCACTACCTGAATTCCCCTCTTGCCTGTCCAGCTGGGTTTTAGAACCATAGATTTCAATGCCTCTTCTCACACTAATCGGAATTGTTAGCATATACCAACTATTTAGATAGGCCATTGGTTCTACATGTGACTTGAAATAGCAGAGTGCCCCCTATTCATCTCCCCTACTCTTACTGACTCAAAAGAAGTTCTGCTGACCTAAGGAGGCAACTAGGAAACTCAGGCTTACTGCCCCCCACACATCAGCATCTGCCCTGCTAACACAAGCAGATCCTGGTTCCATCCACTGTTGCTGATAATTACTGGTGACTCCCCTTGAGATCCTCACAGCCATGAGGATGAGGGCAGATTCTATCCACCCTTCCTTAAGCCATCCAGCCTTGCTAACCCCCGCCCAGAACAAACCACAGCATCACAACACACATGTAAGTTTCTGTACCAAATGCTCCAAACAACCTCGGAGCAGTAGAAACTCAAGGGAGAAACAGAGGAGGAGCTCCATTTAAAAGGGTTTGGGGCCTTTTCAAGAGGATGGCCACTGTGGATGAGCCTCCCTCCCTTCCTCTCTCAGTCTCTTTTCCTAATGGATCCTCATTTTCCACATTCATTCACTTCAATGCCTTTCAATTTCGTTCACCCAACTGCTACCTTATTCAAGTAACCCCATCTTTTCCACAGAAGGAGGCAGCTCCTAATCTTTCAAAGGTCTACTGTGCTTTAAGGGGATGACCATTGCAACAGTTTGTGAGCAAGGCTCCAGTGCCACGAGGGAGGCCGAATGTGGGAGCTCCTCATCTGGGAATGCCGCTCTCTTTGCTACCCAGCAAGAATGACCGCAGCTTCCAAAAGAGACTTTTGAGTTCATTCTTCCCTGAAAGAGGGATGGTAGTGTTAGCAGTTCCTGCCCTCACCTGCACAATTCCTCCACTTCCCTATCTTTCATACTGATCCTAAAACCCCCACATTTTGTGATGGACACTGAGATGCCCTGCCCAGAAGCCCCTCCAGGGGAATGACTTGTTGCCCCAACTGCTGGGAGGCTATCAGCAGACAGTCCTGAGCCCTCAGCCCCTTCAGATATTGCTTCAGCTTCAGAGTCCCCTCACTCACGGTCACACTCTTCCCGGGATAGCCAACATTCAATGACTAATCAAGGTAGGGTATAAAGGCCTGGCCTTCTTGACCCACCTTTGGACAACTTTGAAGCATCATTCTAGTTATAGAGCCATGGCTGTCATTGGCCTCCCTTTGGCTCACTTCTGCTTTCTGCCTCTCCCTTTCATAAGTATTGATCCCCAGGGCTCTACTTAATAACATCTTGCAAGCTAAACTCTGTCTCAGAGTCAGTTTCCCATGGAACCCAACCTGCAACCAAAATTACCTCGGAAAACCACTGATACATGTATATAATACAACTAATACATGAGTCCTCTTGATCTTACTGCCGCCTGTCACTCAAAATCAAGACTATCAGAAGATTTACATTTAGAGAAGGATTTCTCAACCTAAACACTATCTACAGTTTGAGCTGGACAATTCTTTGTTGTGGAGGCTGTCCTGTGCATTGCAGGATGTTTAACGGCATTGCTGGCCTCCACCCACAAGATGCCGGTAACACCTTCCCAGTTATGACAACTAAAAATGTCTCCAGACATAGCCAAACTTCCTCCATGGCGCAAAATCAGCCCTCAGTGAAAACTACTGATTTATAAGAAGCATCCCAGCAGGCAGATTCAGTAAGCATGTAAAAGCATTTGGACCTTGAACATAAATATTTTTTACTTAAAATGTAATGCCTCTTCTGAAGCACTTGCCAGAAAACTCCATCTCCAATTGCCTTCTCAGACTTGCTTGTCAAAAGCACAGTTGAGACAACAGATGTTTGAGAAAACCGGCCCAAGGAACTTCTTAGCTCTCCATTTCTCTAAATATTTCTCATCTCTTTCTCTGCAATTATTTAGATCCAAGGAAACAGCATGCTTGGACTACATTCCTTTAGTTAAAAATGATATAATAATTTTTTTTAAACCCTCCCTGGAATAAGTTAGTGATTTTATCATGGGTAACTACAAAATGTCCATGAACATGCCTGCATATTTTATGACTGATGAAGGTACAGTCCATTACATTCAGCATAAACCACAGATTTTTCTGAGCCACAGTCTTTTTTTCCTTCTCTGTTTTCTTTTATGGGTCAAAATGACTCTATTAAATATCCTCATTTCCTTTTACCATAGTGATGGGAAAGATATACATTATGGCCATTAAGATAAAAATACTCAAGTCATGTAATTGCTCCTGGGAAGTGGAGAGAGAGAAGGGAAAAGTGAATCTTTTTAGAAATCTAATACAGTATCGATATATGGTTTTAGTCCACCAACATCACTTCCTTTGGGAACACCCACTTTTCTCCACTCTAGTTGGGTCTTGTGAATTGCCAATCACGGGCCTTGCCTTTATGACCACAGAGCAGGGCAAATGGCTCATGCTTGGACAACCAGATTCTCTCTCCCGGGTATTTGACTCTTGATTGGAAAAGCACAATGCCTGAGGCTTGTTGAAGCCGACTCATCTGATATTAATACTTCAAATAGTCAATGAACTCTTGCTGCTAACATCCCTGGTGCTGTACCAGTCTCTGTCTTTCCTTTAAACTTTTCTGCATATATACCCCTAAAAGAATTTTGAAAAATTATATATATCATTATATATGACATTTTTAATGTCATCTAAAATTTTTCAACATGAGTCTGTTTTCTCGTAAGGAATGTCATCTTTAGTGCATAGTAGATTCTATACTGACTTTTAAAATAAAATAAAACTATTATATTGGTCTTTTAAATATCCAAAAGAGTATAAGTACCAAAACAATTTGAGACCCATCACTGGCATTTAAAAATATACATATACATGCACAAATGTCTTGTTAACATTTGGAAATTGTATCTTCCTTTTTCTCCTTGAACTTATAGTTCCATTACATATTCCCGCAGAATTCCATTCTATCTTTATACTAGAAAACGTTTAGCTGATCATTCCATCCTAGTTTTCTGCCACAAAAATATATATAATATGAAACCAGTCTTTTACGTTTAATGGTGTTAATGATTCATGTAATATTTAAC